AGCGCTTGCGCTGCTGTGTTGGTTCCAAAGGATGCGCTGGCTGAGGCCGCGCGCCTGGTCTGGTGCGAGCTACTGGGCTCGCTGGTCGTATGAGTTGAAGAGCTAGAGCTTGCGGGTCGGAGCGGCCGAGCTGAGCTTGCACGGGCTGCAGTTGGGTAACACCTGCTTGCTGGAGCGCTTGGTTGACGTGCGTGCAGAGGGAGTGCGCTGGGCTTGGAGATTGCGCGGTGTGGGCACGCGCCTGGTGGTCGCTTACGCGTTGTCTGGCACGCGCGGCTCAGAACGTTGCTGGTGTGTTGCGAGGCGAAGGGCGCGCCGTTGTGCACTATTGCTGCGCTCAATTGGTGCGCGCGAGGTGCGTACGGCGGAGGACGGGAGGCAGCGACGCACGTGTGGGCTAGGGAGAGGCAAACAAAGTGAGCTGTAGCGGCGGACGAAGTGAGCTGCGGTGGACGTGTGGGTGGCGGCCAAGGAAAAGAAAAGAAGAAGGAGAAAAAGAAAGAAAAGGAAGAAGAAGAAGGGAAAGAAAGAAAAGGAAGAAGAAGAAAGAAAAAAGAAAAGAAAGAAGAAGAAGAAAAAGTAGGGCTACGGATCCTTGAAAATTTTTTCCTTTTCTTATTTTTTTTTGTAAGGGCAATTTCGTCTTTTCTAACCCATTTTTTTTTACAAGAAACCCTATATTAGGCGTGGGCACGCCTAACGGCCTACTAGTCTTCTGACCATCCGTAGAAATTTTTGATTCTTAAGCGTGACCACCTGGGTGGGCATGCCTAACTACTGAAAACTCACGCCTAACTACTGTAGAGTCTTTTGACTGCGGACGTGAATTTTCTTTCCTTAAGTGTGATCACCTGGCGTGGGTACGCTTAACTACTATAGAGTCTTCTGACCGTCGCTTTCCAACTCTCATCCTTAGACGTGATCACTTAGCGTGGGCACGTCTAACTGCCATTTCCTGCCACAAAATAATAAACTACTAAATGACACTAACATTTAACAAAAACTTCAAAAATAAACGAAAACTAAAGAAAATAACCTTGGGTTGCCTCCCAAATAGCGCATTTCTTTAATGTTTTTGGCTAGACATGGCCGGAATCCTCAAGTAAGATAAATTGGATCCTTGAGGTGTACAATTTCAACTTCCTCAACAGAGAATCCCTCATAATAAGGTTTGAGACGATGGCCATTCACCACGAACTTCTTCTTCGTCTTTAAACTTTGGATCTCCACTGCACCATAATGAAACACATTAGAAACGACAAATAGACCAATCCAACGAGAACGCAACTTACCGGAAAAAAGTTTAAGTCTCGAGTGATACAATAGGACTTTTTGCCCCACTACAAACGATTTCCTTGAAACTTGTTGATCATGAAAAATTTTGCTTTTCTCCTTATAAATCGTGGCATTCTCGTATGCTTCGTTCCTAATTTCTTCCAGTTCTTGTAGTTGCAATTTCCTTTAGACCCCCGCTTCTTCAAGATCCATATTACACTGTTTCACTGCCCAGAACGCCTTATGTTCGAACTTCACAGAAAGATGACAAGCCTTACCGAAAACTAGTCTATATGGGGATATCCTAATCGGCGTCTTATACGCAGTGCGGTACTCCCATAGTACATCTTCTAATTTCAAGTTCTAATCCTTTCTATCCGGGCACACCATCTTCTCCAAAATCGATTTGATCTCCCTGATCGACACTTCAACCTGACCATTTGTCTGTGGGTGATATGGCACGGATACTTTGTGGAGTACGCCATATTTTTGAAACAGGGCAACAATAGTTTTATTACAAAAGTACGTGCCCCTATCACTTACCACAGCTCTCGGCATTCCAAAGCGAACAAAAATGTTAGACTTTAGAAATTCTGCAACCACTCTAGAATTGTTAGTATGGGTGGCTTTTGTTTCCACCCACTTAGAGACATAATCAACAGCAAGTAAGATGTACAGGAAACCAAAAGACGAGGAAAAAAGACTCATGAAATCTATCCCTTAAATATCAAAAATTTCAACAAACAACATGGGGGGTTTGAAGTATTTGGTCCCTACAAAAAAATATTTTCCATCCTTTGACACTTATCACACGATTTACAAAATAAATACGCATTTTTAAAAAGGGTGGACTAATAAAAGCCGCTCTCCAACACCTTACGAGCTGTTCGCTTAGGCCCAAAATGCCCTCTACACGTAAATGAATGACAGAAATTTAAAATGAAGTGGAATTCACCTGCACCCACACATCTTCTCAGTACTTGATCCGAGCATTGCCTCCAAAGGTAAGGGTCATTCCAAATGTAGTATTTGGCATCATTTTTCAACTTGTCTCTCCTAACCTTTGGTCAATCTGGAGGCAATTGATTAGTTACTAAAAAATTTATAATATCAGCATACTAGGGTGCCGACGAATCAACGGCAAGTAGTTACTCCTCTGGAAATGTCTCTCTCAATGGCGACTCCTCCTTATGTGCAAGCAAGCGGCTCAAGTGATCAGCAACCAAGTTCTCTGCCCCACTTTTATCTTTAATCTCCAAGTTGAACTCTTGCAGGAGCAGGATCCATCTGATGAGCCTTGATTTTGCATCCTTCTTCGTCATCAAGTACCTTAAGACTGTATGATCAGAGAAAACTGTTACTTTAGCACCTAATAAATAATGTCTAAACTTTTTTAATGCAAAAATAACACCTAGTAATTCTTTCTCCGTTGTAGAGTAGCTAAGCTGAGCCCCGTTCAACGTCTTTAATGCATAATAGATTGCATGTGCCGCCCTGCCAATTCTTTGCCCCAACATTGCTCCCACTGCGTAGTCACTCGCATCACACATTATTTCAAATGGGAGGCTCCAGTTTGTGGGTTGACTGATGGGCGGTGAGGTTAACGATTCCTTCAATTTGTCAAATGCCATCTTGCACTCCTCAGTGAAGTTAAAAGCTACGTCCTTTTGCAACAATTTGAATAACGGTACTCCAATTTTTGAAAAGTCCTTAATGAATCTTCTGTAGAACCCTGCATGATCCAAAAATAAACGCACTTCCCGTACACTTGCGGAGTAAGGTAAAACAGAAATAATATCGACTTTTGTTTTATCTACCTCTATGCCCCTAGCTGACACTACATGTCCTAAGATAATACCATACTCTACTATGAAGTGACATTTTTTTCAATTAAGAACTAAATTTGTCTCTATGCACCGTTTCAAAATTAAAGCTAAATTATCAAGGCATTCTTCAAAACTATCTCCATATACACTAAAATCATCCATAAATACCTCAACAATCTTTTCTACATATTCGGAGAATATACTTACCATACACCTCTGGAAAGTCGCTGAAACGTTGCAGAGGCCGAAAGACATCCTCCAGTAGGCAAACGTACCAAATGGGCATGTGAATGTAGTTTTCTCTTGGTCCTCTGGTGCTATCGTAATTTGGAAGTACCCTGAAAAACCATCAAAAAAATAATAGTAAACACGACTAGCCAATCTCTCTATCATCTGATCAATGAAAGGGAGAGGGAAGTGATCCTTTTTTGTCACGGCATTCAGTCGCCGGTAGTCGTTGCACTGGAATCATCCTGTGGGTTTTCTCACTAGAACCACCTCATCCTTCTGGTTCTCTTCTACCGATATTCCCGCCTTTTTCGGGACTACTTGAATTGGGCTCACCCATGGACTGTCTGAGATGGCGAAGATAATTCCCACTTTCAGGGGTTTGAGTATCTTCTTCTTGACTACTTCCATCATAAGCGGGTTTAATTTTTGTTGTGCCTGTCTCACCGACTTTGCATCATCCTCAAGCCGTATCCGGTGCATGCACAAGGACGGGCTGATTCTTTTGATGTCCGCTATACTCCACCCAATCGCCTCTTTATGATCTCGAAGAAGACGAACTAGGTTGTCTTCTTGACTCGATGACAGGTGTGCAGAAATTATCACAGGTAGTGTCTCCTTGTCCTCAAGGAATGCATACTTCAAGTGCTTTGGGAAAGGTTTAACCTCCAGCTCGGCTGCCTGCACAACAGAAGGCAACAATTTCGTCTGAGTTTCAGGTACGAATACAAAAGGGATCTCATACCTTAAGAAAATTGGTGGAAGTGAGTGCAGTGCTTCAATCGCACTATATAACTCATCACTTATTTCCACACTGAGAGTTGCTCTCAGCTCAAGATGCTTCATCAAAATCACTTCCAATGCGTCCTCCCCATCCAATTCAAATATTTCCTGTACAAGGGGCTCAATAATACTCAAAGCAAAAACAGAGTTAGATTCCTCTGGGTATTTCATCGCATCAAAAATATTGAAATTTACAATTTTTTCATCAAATTTCATTGACAAAGTACCCTCATTCACATATATTTTTGTCCTAACAGTGCTTAAAAATGGTATATCTAACAAAATAGGTGACGGATTTAATAACCTCTTATCTCCCATATCTAGGACATAAAAATCTGTTGGGAAGACTAACTCATTGATCTGTACTAAAACATCTTCAACTAACCCTTCTGAATAAGCGTTGGTACGGTCTACTAGTTGGATTATAATGCTTGTATCTTTTAGTGGCCCAAGATTAAAAGACACAGAAATAGTCTTAAGCATTACATTAATCGACGCCCCTAAATCCAACATCGCTTTCCTAATTGGGGTATCTCCTATTTTACATGGAATTGTGAACATACCTGGGTCCGCACACTTTGGTGGGAGCTTTCTGTGAAGTATAGCCGACACACTTTCTCCCACCACCACTCTTTCGTCACCCCTTAGCTTTCTTTTGTGGGTGCGCAAATCTTTCAAAAATTTAGCTTACTTCGGTATCTGCTTGATTGCATCTAACAAGGGGATGTTAATCTCCACTTTCCGGAACATATCCAAAAGCTCTTTTTTGGGATTTACCTCGGGTTGCGATGGCAATTTTTCATAAACATGGGACTCCAGGCAATTAATGGCAGTTGCCATTTGGTTCATTCGAGTCTCCATATCTTTCATGCCTGCTCTGGTGTCATGCTAGAACTGGGTAGTGCTCGTGACCAAGGATCTAGTCTCTTGCTGAAGTTGAGCAGCAGTCGTGACCAAGGATCTAGTCTCTTGTTGGAGCTGAGTGGTAGTCGTGGTCAGGCTCTTGAAAATATCCTCCAAAGAGCTTCCTGAATTGGAGGACGAGGGTTGAGGCTGTGGTTGCCATGGTTGCTGAAATCCTGATGGGCGATTCGAGAATGAATTTTGTGGCTTGTTCCCATAGCTGAAATTGGGATGGTCTCTCCAACCGGGGTTATATGTATTGAAGTACGGGTCATACTGCCTTCGGAGCGCAGGCACGCTTCCGGCCATATTTACCTGTTCCCCCCATCCTCTTCAAAAGGGGACATGTGTCCGTACAGCGGTCCATGCTTGTACAAATTCCATATACCTTTGCTCGCTGCGTATTTTCCATGGCTAATTGCCTAACAACAGACGTCAACTCCGACAATTGCTGCTGAATGGATGACGTTTTTACTTCCTTGACCCTAAGGGTGGAGTTGCTCTCACGGAAGCCAAATTGCTGAGAGTTTTCTGCCATGGTTTCAATAAACTCCCACGCTTTCTTCGGCGTCTTGTTTGCCAGTGCTCCTCCACTCGCAGCGTCAATGATACTTCTGTCAGTTGACTGGAACCCTTTATAGAAGTACCGGATCAATCGCTGTTCACTAATTTAATGCTGTGGGCATCTAGTGCATAACTTATTGAACCATTTCCCAATAGTCATACAAGGACTCCCCGGGATATTGCTTAATGTTGCATATCTCCTTTTTCAAACTTGTAGCCCGGGATGCAGGGAAGAATTTTTCTAAAAATTTCTTTTTCAACTGTGCCCATGTGGTAATACTGCCTGCGGGTAGGTAGTATAGCCAATTTTTAACTGCATCTTTGAGAGAAAAAGGGAAGGTTTTTAGTCTAATTTGCTCCTCAGTGATTCCAGTAGATTTCATGCCAGAGCAAGCCACTTCAAACTCCTTGACATGTTTATGGGGTTCTTCACCAGAGAGACCATGGAACGAGGGTAAAAGGTGAATCAATCCCGACTTCAACTCGAAGGCGGTATTCTCAGCCAAAGTTGGGAATGTAATACACAAAGGCTGGTGAGTCAACTCCGGAGCAGTCAGCTCCCTTAGTGTTTGGTTGTTTGCCATGTTATATCTGTTCTCTACTGACTCAGTTGCAGTATATGATTGCCTTTCTTTTCGTCTCCTGGTCTCTTGTTTTCGCCTACACGCTGGCTTCTCAAGCTCAAGGTCGTATATCAATTCACCTGTACGAGAAGAATGGGGTATAAACTAGCAAAAATATCAAGAAGAAACTGAACTAAAAAAAATAAATAATTCAAACGCCAGTCCCCAACAACGGCGCCAAAAATTGACAGGTGCCGAACTTGTGCAATAATAATAAATAAAACCTAACTATCACAAAAAATAGTCAATAATCAATTTTAGGTACTGGAGCAGAGACTCTAGGTATGCAATGGGTTAATTGATTCACCTTATTCCCGAAAAATTTGCTTAATCCGATATACCCGAATTAATTATCTGACTAAATTTACTAACTAGTAGACAGCAGCAAGCAGAGTCGTCTCCTCAGGGACTGGGGAGAAATTTATTTCCTTTCAAGTCAAGATAAATGGGGGGTTTGGGATTAAATGCTAATGAACTAAATAAATCAAATGCAGAAAATAATTAACTGCAGAAAATAATTAATTAAAGGAATAATTGGGAGAACTCTAGCTAAGGATATACTTCAGAAATGGTTCACGCACCGATCATTGATTCACAGATAATTCCAACATTTATTAATAAATTAGTTATAATTGTCATGCACACGATAAACAACTAACTTTTCCTTAATTTCTCGATAGTTAAGGTACGACCATTAACTATTTCTCTAACCCGGAAACAACCCTAGGTACGACCGTAGGATTTAATTTCTAGATTGCATTAATAATTAGAAAGATCCAATCCTAACTAACAAACACGCTACGAGGGTTTGTTTAAATTAGATCGTATGTTTCCTTGAAATAAATCCAATTACGCCAGTTGCTACTGAGATAGAGATATTCGAACAATTACGAATTCAATTACCCCAAATTAGCAAAATAGCCTATATGAATAATTAATTATTGCGCACTAATCAATCATACACAAGAACTATAGCAATTAAAAGCAGGAAACATAAAAATACTAATAAATGAAGGAAACAATTAATAATGGTTTAGATCTCACAGTAATTGCCGAACCAAATCGTTAGTTGACCCCTTGACTAGAATTAGGGATTTAGTTCTCCATTAATGGAGAACGAACCGCGCTTGGGGAATTGGGAAAAGTTTTCCAATCGATTTTTCCAATTCCGGTCAACAATAGGAGGAAAGAATAAGGGACTTGATCGCTTCCAATTGTCTCTAGAGCAACGTAAAAGAGAATCTGAAACTCTCTTTCAATTTCGGTCAAAGCCAAATGAAAAGCAATTCCAATGGTCCACAATTGCGGCTCTTGTTGGTTTCTCACAAAACATACGAGAAAATGCTTTTTGGTTTCTTCAATTCGGTCAACAAAAAGGAAAAGCAAATCACCACGGTCAACACTGGTGGCCTGCTCCTAATTAGTTGTTTTCAAAGCATAAAAACCAAGAATGAAAAATCCAAGGCAGCCCTACTCAAAGTACAAAATCCCCTTTTTACATTGGTAGCCGCCGAAAATGAAGGAATTGATTTCCTTGTTATCTGCCGGCCCCACCAGAGAGGAAAACAAAACGGTTCCCCTAATTCTTGTTTTTACTCCTTTCCAGAAATTGGTATTCAAATACCAAAAAAACTCCCTAAATAAAAGAAAACCTATTACAATTAAATCTCTTCAGCTTTCTTAAGTGGACCCCACTGCTTGAAGTGCCCCACGTTCGACGAACCACAGAGATCCGGCTCTGAGGGCTAGAGTTAGGCGTGGGTACGCCTACTCATCAGGAAGTCCTTTGAATTTTGATTTTAAGCACTTTTCAGTATCAATGCCTGCAATTAACACCAAAACCACATCTGAGTAGAATCCACCCAATTAGTGAGATATTTAGTCAAACACTTGTGCAATATTACCCAAAATATCCGACTAAAACGCACCCTATCAAGAAACAATCATAAAAGTTATAACAAAAAATGCAACCTATCAATTTTTCTCACACCTAAACCATGCTTGTTCTCAAGCATGAGAACAACTAATGAAGCATTACCAAGTCATTGAGTTCAAATAATGGCCATTAATCAAATCATCTGTTGTCAAGTACAATTAAAACACATGTCGAGCATTAATGGCTAAATTTCAAGAAATATCTCTCCGTTAGTTTTTAAAATCAAGGATTATTCTAATTCTTGACTAACTAATCTAAGAACATAAAATATTCAGCTAACAATCAATTGGCAAACGGTTCAACTATTAAGTAAAATCTCAATATTAAAACTCGTGGGTCAACAGGCCAGCAACTCATTCACACATTTTCATATTCATATACACTCGTTTTTTTAAGATGTTCCCCATACTTGAGTTTTCTTGTTTTCTTAATTTTTTTCGGAGGAAATGTTTAGTCCTTAGCCATTCAAGTCTTTTGACACGAACTCCAACATCTCCCAAACGAAGGAGCCCATTTACTCAACTTTCATCACTTAAGGACCACACACTCATAGCTATTGCCATTTTTTGACATAAAAGTCGACACTTTTGGTGAAAACTCCCGATTATTAGGCAGCAATAACTAGCGGAATATAGCCAAACATAATTCACAAATAATTACCGAAACGAAATTAAGGGTTAATTACAATTTGACCCCTTGAATTTGACCTTTTATTACACTTTGCCCCCTTAAACTTTAAATAAATACATTTTGTCCCCTTAATTGACTAGTCAAGTGTTAATGATGAATTCTCTCTCCAAAAATTTAACAAAATGACATTACATAATGGTTCTAGAATAATAATGTACTTTTAATCAGAATATGAAATATTTTATTAGAAAAAACACAAAGTGATATGATTTAAAAGATTAAAAAAATAAAAGATGATATAATACCAAAGAATTGTAAAATTGTATTATTGACAAAAAATGAATTTAAAAATTCCTAAAACATATGCGCAAGTTTTCCATCATTTATCTTTATTCCTTTAAATTGTAAATGGATTACTTTTGATAATTTTCGTTTACTTTGTAGCTGTCACTCGATTTTCACGAGTCAATAAGATACTATTTGATAATTTTATAATTTTATATCACATTCATACCTTGCTTTTGTATTTTGTTTGCATTCTAAATTTTTAAAAAACTAAAAATTCTCTAATACATTTTTCAATACATTTTTATTTTTAATCATGTTTTTATCTCATATAAAACATATTAAAAAGTGTTACAATAAAAAAATATAAGCACATAGTTTTCATTCCAAATGCACTAATTAATTTTATTTCATTTAAAATAAGTATTGCTACCAGCATTGAGATAAATACATTAAGTTGGTTAGACTTATTTTTTATGAATTCTTTAATTCATTTTAAGACTAAAAAATTGAAATGCATAGTGTAATTGTGTTTTGATGCATTTAGTAACTATAAAAGAAATAGATATTTATTATGTTACAATTATTATGTGTGTTTATAATGTAGTCAGGGATATTTTGGTCATGAGAAATATAACTTCATCTTAACCCTGTCAAAAAGTTGACCAGAATGGATAAAGTGTATATATTTGGATTTTAGGGGGGGAGGGGGCAAATTGTTACAAGGGTCAAAGTTCAAGGGGGTAAAGTGTAATTGATCCTAAAATTAAAGACCACATAAGCTCGTTTCATTTCCCAAACATGGAGAAATAAGATTAATAATTGAACCAATTCACATGAAAAATGCTAGACAAATATTTACAATGCCTATGAAAGTTAACCAAAATGTGCAAAAGTCACAAAATCTCATATATTCACTAAAGAGACACTTTTAGACCTAACCATGTTATTCTTAACACCTTAGAGTATAAAATCTTAGTAATGGAAAAATTTAAGACATCTAGTTATTGCTTATCAAGATTAACCACAAAAATGTGCAAGGAGTGGCAAAATTTGGACGAAATTCAAAAAAAAAAGTCAAAAAAAATTCCAACAAAAATGCCTACACTTGTACTTTTTCAATATACTACCCCTCCAACACACCTATATCTTACATTGTTCCCAATGTAAGTAATAAAGAAGCAACCTTCTTAGCTTAAATTTAATATATTCTGAGGCTTCAATTTTACTTTCTAAAGGGAACAACCTCTTTATTGTTGAGCTATACCATAATTCAAGAAAAACTAGCAACATGAGAGTCTAGTGTCCTTTTGTTTTACTTTCTCATTTCTCTCTCAATTTTTTCCCCGTTCTTTCCTTTTCTTCTTTTTAGTTTCATGTAGATTTTTTGCAGAAAACATTAGGAGGACATGATATTGACAGGTGTTGAGTCTTTACAATAATAAATACCTACTCAATTAAAATATAAATTTTGCATATAGTAGTGAGAAGGGTCGAATTCACAGGGACTGGAGATAATTAATTTCTTCTAGAGTTCAGAGTATGGGGGGTTTTTAGTAAAAAGGCAATAATTAAACAACTCAAATAAAATAAATAAATGAAAACTAAATCACAATTTATTAAAATTGAAGTCATAATAGACAAATTCTAACCAAGGAATAATTTCAAAAATTATTCACTCCATTGATCATTGATGCAATAATAATTTCATTTATTCATTGATAAACAAGCTATAATTACCAAATACGTGATGACAATCAACTCCTCCTTACTGTATTGGTGGTTAAGTTACGACCGTTAACCAGTACCCTAATTAAGAAATAGCCCTAGGTACGAGCTTAGAGTTCAATTTCTCAATTGCCTTAAGAATTAGAGAAGTTGTGTTCTAACCAAATAATACACTACGAGGGTTACATTAAGTTAGCCCCTGCACTCCCCTGACATAAATCCAATCATGCCAGTCAGCATTAATTTAAAACAATTAAACAATTATGAATTTAACTGCTCTAACTGATATGAGCTTATTAGATTAATTTAAATACATGGCCCTTGATATTCAAATAATATAATGACCATAAAAATTAAATCAGAGAACATACGAATACCAGTAAATAAAAGAAATAAATATGATCAATTCGATCTCACAATTTTAGATGAACCAAATGCTCTGTTGTTCCTTGACTAAAATGAAAAGCTCAGTTCATACCCAAGGAGAAAGCCATGCGCCAAGTATTAGAATTAATTCCTGCGGCCATTCTCTCTAAACTAATATGAAAGAGAGAACGAAAGACGTCTGTTTGTTTCTCCCTGGAGAAAAGAAAAGTTACTATCTAACGTCTTGGACCTGTAGCATTTATTATTCCTATCGAAACTACTTTTCCTAAAACAAAACAATCCTAATAGATAGACTAGATTAATCTCTTTGTAAGATAGGAAACTATTCAGTTGATAAAGAGTCTCTTCCACAGCTCCAATCCAAGACTAGAAGCCACGCGCCAACTCCTGAGTTTCTGAACTTGCATAATTAAATTTTGATATGCCCATGCTGAATTGCACAAAAATTAGTTAAAATTTATGTTCTTAACTTCTTTTCGCTCGAAATCCATACAACCAACACCAATCACCAAATATAAATAGAATCTATCAATTAATGCAATATTTGAAAAAATAAAAGAGGGAAACAATCATAAAAGTTATAACAAAAATGCAACCAATCAATTTCCCCCACACCTAAACC